ATAGAACAACAAAAAGAATGATTTGAGATTTGTATGTAAATCTGTGTTAATATATGATATAAGGATACTTGAACTTTGTGAAAGTTTCTCGGGTCTACAGGTTTGGGGTTCACAGATATGTTTCCCCACTGACACTGTAGCTAGTCAGTAGAAATAAATGAGTTTTCTGTGCACTGAATGGTGGCATAGCAGTAAAACTATGCCCCGAAAGGCGGACTCACATGGAAAAGCTCCAGGTTCATTTTCAGAGGCTGAAGATGAGGTGGACCACAGCATGAAGATGATTTTGGATGTGCTTGTCTCTCTCTCTAATTAAATAAATAATTTTTTTTTTAATTTTTGGAAAAGTGTGTTTCCCGTGCCTTTTCTCATTGTCTCCTCTTCCTCTTCATAGCTCTCCAAGATCCAGTTCTTAACATGAGTGGGGGTAGCTCCATTCCTTAACAACCCTGTGCAGGACCTGGTATTGCAATCAACATGGCACCCGTTGCTCCAGCCAAAGCTCTCTCTACTTCCTGTTTGCCAAGAAAGGGTATGATCTGGAGTAGGAAAGAGAAAGCACATTGTCAACAAGAAGCAAATGTAACTTTATTTCATGGGCTCAAGCCAACAATTCTGTTATATAGGTACATTCGAAAATGTAGTTTTGAAACAGAGTGATAAAATCTGAAAAGAACGATTACTTTTTCAAATTAGCAGTCTAACCGTATCTTTTTACAGATGAGAAAACTGAGACACAGAGACTGCCCCAATAACACACAACCAGTTAATGATAAAGCTAGAATTAGAATTTAAGCGAATACTTTTCTTAGGTGATTTGGAAAATATCCAGAAAAAATGAACTGCTAGGAGTTATAATGCATGAACTGTGACACAGTTGGAGGAACTAGAGATTCTTTTTTATGGAGAAACATTTTTTGCTATAGGGCACGCCTGCTTACCAGAGAAACAGAGAGAGACAGAGAAACAAAACATGAGAAATCACCTCCCAGGGGGAATAGCCATGCCATAATCGCTTCTCCTCCATTCTCCTCATAGAATTTTGGGCATGCGCGCACACATACCTGATGTGAGTTTCAAGCTGCTGGGTCTGGGATTCAAACCATGCTCAACCACTTGGGAGTCCAGTGCCTTAATCACTATGCCATATGTTAGTCCTGGAACTAGATATTCTTAACCTGTAAAGGGGAAGATTCAGGGACATAGTAACTATTTTTCAAATACTAAAAGGACTGGCAGGTAGAATAGGTTTGAACTTATTCTGTTAGTCAGAGGAAACACAGAACATTGTAGGGCTATTAACAGGAAAGACTTGAAGAGTTCAATAGAAGGTAAAACCTTTTAAACAGTCAAAAATGGCCAAAACAATTTGGGGGGAAGAGTAAGTTTTCTGTCACCTGAGGCACTTCAGAATAAACTGAAAAATAATGCAGAGTATGTGTTTGTCTTCAGAGAGGGGTGGGGTAAGGGGTTGGAAGACAGAATTCAGGCATGAAAATCATTTGTGTGGTGTGACCTTTGAAAGTATGTGATTCTTTACAACTTGAGACCAAATAAGAGTTTCATTCTTGCCTCTGAACTCTAAAACCTATCTTCCCATCTGTTTGCAATAGTTTAAATTTTAATCTATTTCATATTTCAGGGTATTATGCCCTGAATATCTGATTTGAATGCTGTGGCAGAAGGTCACTCATATTCATTTATTTTCTTTTACTCTTATACACTGCAGTGAGTCTTTTGAATCCATTATGCAAACACATGCAAATCATATGCAAATAGTGTGGCCTCAGAAAATGACAAAAATCTTACAGTCTTAACTGAGCCATCAAATCTTTCTTTAAGAAGGAAAGTAATATGCCTTTTGAACATCTCTGGGGCAGGAGACAATTTCTTGAAAGTGATATTTACATGACATTGGAATTGGAACTCAGAAGAGTCTTTGCCTCACATTTGTCATATTTATGTATGGCTTTAAGGTTAAAAAAGCACTTTTCACATATATGATCCCATCTTATCCTCATAATTTACCCTGTGATGTAGGCACAACAGAAATTATAATTCCTGTTTTCCAGATGGGAAAAATATAGAAGTGAAATGACTTGGCCAAGGTCACTCAGTTGGGAAGCAATTGATCCAAAGCTTAGAATCACAGGCCTTCTGGTCCTCAGCTCTTTGCATTGCATGATTGTAGGCATCCTCTTTGAAGCAAGGTGGTCCATGGTCGGTCTGGGCTTGCTTAGTCTGTATTTTGCCAAAAACATCTTTGGAAGTACTTTTGTTGAAGAGGATAGGATTTTTTTTAATGAATTATTTTATTTAACTTTACTTATCCATTTATTTATTTATTGTAATTTAACCAGAGAGAGAGAGAGAAAGTGAGAAAGCAAGTCGCCAGGTCTGGGGCTTGAACCGTGATCTACCACGTGGCAGTCAAGTGCTCTTAGTCACCATGCCAGCTGCCGGCTTTAAGGATGGTATTCTTTAAGGGTGACCAGAAAAGCCTAAACAGAAGGGGTCTCCAAAAAGTTCCTGAAAACTGCTGCTTATTAAAAAGTTATGCATGGATTTGGGGGGTTGCTTGGGGGAGGAGGGCATTAAAATAAATTCATACTTTAACTCCATTTTACCACGAACTTTATGAAGTCCCCTCATGTTTGTAGTAGCCATAGTGCAAAGAACATCATTTCTCTAAGCCCATCTGCTTTTTAGCACTTGCTCTGAGATCTCCAGAGAAAGAAATTTATGCCATCTATTCTTCAGCTCCTTCGGGAGGTAAAATTCTTTCTTAAACTATGGCCACTAGTAGCACAGTCTCCACACCGAGGTCTGGATTTGAAGCCCTAGTCCTCCACTCTGCAGCTGTACAGCCTTGAAGAGGTCATATAATTTCTCTAAGCAGCAGTTTCTAAGTCTAGGGGAAAATAGAGAAATAATAGCACCTCTTTTATAGACTATGTAGAAATATTCTAGCATAAGAAAATGTACCAAAAGCAAAAATAAAAACTTGGTCTGGTGTCTGGCACATAGTAAGTGCTCAATTAATGATCGCTATTAGAATCCTTTTATTAGAGACAGTAACACAGTGTGGTGGCATCCATAGTACAAGTTATTGTAAACTCTGGTATTAGAAATTGGGCTCCTGGTAATGAAATGGAAGAACAGAACAGTAAGAATGTCCTACATGCCAAAGACGTGGAGAACAATGTCTGATGTAGCTAATTCAGCACTCTGAGGGATGTTTGAACTTGGACTTTCTTTAATCACAGTCACATCTTGTATCAGAATGAGGGTAGATCTAATCCTGCTTCAAAGTTATTTCTAAGAGAAATAGGGCCACGGCTGGCATCATTAACTCTGCTCTCTCTTAGACAGGCAGCTTTGTATTGGGTTGTCAGAAAAGTCATGATACATTTTTGCATAGAAAAAGTACATCAGGGGGCCAGCAGGTGGTGTGGTGGTTAAGAAACAGGACTCCCGCAGAGCTGACTGTGGTTCAAGGACCAGACCAGACGACTTGCTTTCTGTCTCTCTCTCCCTCTCTCTCTCTCTTTCTCTGTCTCTCTCTTTCTGATGACTATAAAAGTTAAAAATAATAATAATAAATAAATAAAAATAAAATAAAGTAATTCTCTAAAAAAAATACATCATGCCTTTTCCAACAACTCAATACATAGCAGTAGCCCCTACTTCCCTGGGCCGGATTGGGAGAGAACAAGAAGCGATTCCATCCGGCTGCTTTTGGGCCTGTATTACCAGGTTAAGAGGTGAGGAATTCCTGCTCCTGTGCAGCTGAGACAGGGGATGAAGGGCAGGAACAGAAACCAGGCCAACCCCAAGAACAATGCTCAACAGAAATAGAGATTGCGACAGGAGTTAGGGACACGGGTGCTTTTAGTGATGAGGACGACATTTAAGGGTGATCAGAAAGCCTAAATATAGGAATCTTCAAAGATTTCATGAAAAATACATATTATGAAAAAATTATGCATGATTTCATTTTATTTTTTTTGGCACCAAAATAAACTAATACCTTAGTTCCATTGGAACCAGGCCAACTTCAACGACCAACCTTGACAGGAAAAAGGGGCCATAAAGATCCTGTCCATTATGATAGCAGAGAGTATCTATATAGCAGTTTTATGGTCACACACACTCGCCAGCACCCACAAATAACCTATTGGAAATTTCGCTTCATTAGCATGCCAGGAAACACACCCCTGAGTACAGAGCTAAGAGGCTAATGCTACATACATCCCATGATCAAGTGTATTCAGCTAGAGAACACATTCACAAAGGAGAACCCATACAGGGGTCCTCAAGACCCTTCCCAAACTCTACAAACCCAACCCCTTTATGAAAATGCACGTAAACCTCTCATAAAGTAAGATCTGGAAGGCACTCAGTGCTGTCTCTTCTAGAGCAGTCATCTGCCTGCGGAGTGTAGTCTCACCTTTCCTCAAACAGTTTTCTTTGCCTCTGACTTGTGCTTGAACTCTTTCCTGAGACAAAGTCAAGGATCGGAGAGACCCTCACCCAGGTGACACAAAGAGCCAAGATGGGGCTGGATGAGGTGGCCCAGGAGCAGGTACACTCTTGGACCTGTTCCTTCTTGCTCCAGGTCTGAGCTCAGGAGGCATCACTGGAAGACTCAGCTCTTCCATATGACCCGAGAGGCTCTGCCCTTCCAGCATGCCCCAACCTCTCTCCAAATCACTGACCTAAGGCAACTAACACAGTAGCCCCTCTGTGAGTTCAGCATCCTGCTTCCACAGCCTCCTTCTTAGAAAGGGATCAGAAGTGACTGAAGTTGGCCAGATCCTTGAAGCTGGTATGAAGGTTGGCACTGTCACACTGAGAGTCTGAGTGGCCAGTCCGACAAGACTGTAGAACCGATTTATGTTTGCCAGGAAATGCACCGGGTCATTCTGGGGCTGGTCCTCAGTTATTTTTGGCAAATATGGGTGGTATGCAAAAAGACTTCCCCTTTCTTGCAGCACAGAGCCACTGACAAGTGAGCAGTCAACAGCATTTCCTTTTCCGAGACCACCCTTCTGAGCTCCTCTCTGGCTGCAGGACTGCAGAGGTCACCATAGATTGGTTCAATTTCTCAGTTCCAGGCACTGGATAAACTCACCACGCTGGGATTACATTAGCCCTGTGATGGCTTCTAATGCCAGCTGCTTCCTTTTGGCGGTGCTGTTTTCTGCCAGCTGTAAAGTCATCACCTGCTCAGAACTGATGTGCATCGAGGTGAGTCCAGTCTGTCCTTATCCAGATTAAACTGTCTGGGAGTTCTGAGATTCAGTCCCATCTGAGCCTTGGCAGCCCAGCACCACCATCTTGAAAAGGGCTATGGGGCACACAGAGGCATTGTGAGAAGTGAGCCAATGAGTGTAGCCAGGGCGTGGTCTGGTAGCATCTTACCAGGGGGAAGTGGGGGTTTTCCTCCTCTTCAAACAATTCCCTCCAAATAATCCCAATTTAGACATAAGATATCAATAGGGTCTTGATGTCAAACGCAGACCCTGAAATCTGCCTCCTAGCCCTGAGGACCAGTTTATTCAACAACCCAGCATGTGGCCACTATCCTAAAGAGTCCTTTAGCTTCCTGGCTTTTGGGGTGAGGATTAGTAACAACAGGCTGGCACCAGGTTTTAGAGCATTTGAAAGACCACTCTGATGAGTCTGGCTTCCTCCTCAAGTTGGATAGCTCTCCATCTGTCTTGTTAACCCACAGGAGTAAAATCTGAGCGTACGGCCAAATTGCACCTTCTGTTTTGGACCATAGCAATCTTGATCAACCTGTGGGAACTTCTGGGGCAAGAAGGATGGTGAGAGAGAGGAAGGAGAAGGCCTCGGTCTCTTGCCATCTTCGAACATGCGTCGACCTTCCTCCCACTATCTCTGACCCTGCAAGTATCTGTCGGACAGGGTTGTGAACAGGAAGGACTATCTATCTATCTTGGTGGTATGGTGGGCTGCCTTTCTAGGCTGGGGATGGAAGGAGAGGATGCAGAATGGCCCTGAGGCAGTACCTAGGAGAAGGTCAGGGCAGTGATCTGGGAGAGAGGGGCAAAAACCTGCTGGATAAAGCACACGAATCAAAGCCAGGACTGGAAGAAGGTCCAGAACAGAAAGGAACAGAACCTTGCTAGCCTGCTATTGGGATGGAATCAGGATGAGCCCAAACCCAGAGGAGCTATGATGCCCAAGGGCTGGAAAGGAGTATTATAACAGTTTTGTAACTAAGCACCACAGAGTGGGGGGCCTTAAATGATAGAAATGGATTGTCTCACAGCTCTGGAGGCAGGAAGTCTGCGCACAAGATGTCGGCAAGTTAGTTCCTTTTCTGAGGCCTCTTTCAGGTCACGGCTGACCATATTTTCCCCGTGTCTCCACAGGGTCTTCCCTTGGGCCTGTGTTCTAATCACCTCTTCTTATGAAGATACCATCCATATTAGATTAGGGCCCAGCTATGTAACCTCATTTACCTTAATCACCTTTTAAAAGGCTCTATCTCCAAATGCAGACACATTTCAGAGTACTGGGGAGCTAGGATTCCATATATAAATTTTTGAGGGGACACAATTAAGCCCATAACAGTAGTATGTGGAGTTGGTATCATCCCAGAAGTCTGTCTCCTTATTGCTCAGCTTAGAAGTTCATTTCCTTACAGACTTGTGGGCAGTGTGGTGAGGAGGAGGTAGAAACATCACCCCACGTGACTAGGAGGAGTGTCATCTGCCTCTTTCCTCAGACTGGACAATATGACAATTAAATTCCGGATCGGTGAGAAGCAGGCTGTTTTAAAAGCCCTGCTCTTTTTTTTTAAAGAGTTATTTTATTTTATTTATTTATTTTTCATTTGACCAGAAAGAGAGAGAAAGGGAAAGTAAGAAAGCAAGCCACCAAGTCCAGGACTGGAACCATGGTTGGCCTTGTGGGAATCCAACACCTTAACCACCATGCCACCTGCCAACTCCTAAAAACCCTACTCTTACATGTAGCAGGTCAGCTCTCCAGTCTCTGTGTTACTGTGAAGACTGCGTAGTCTTCTTGAAGACCACAAGGAGTCCCAAGGAAGGGACAATAGTGTGGGAGAATTTGAAAGCTTGTGGAAATCCTGAGCTAATCTATTCCCTATTGAGGACATCAGGCTGCAGAGATGCCAATTTCTCTTTTGCAAATGGTTCTTGCTTTGACCGAGGGAAAGTAGAAAGTGGCAAGGAGAGAACCCTTGACCTTTGGCTGCTGACTGTCCTGGGGCCCTTGGTGCTGTTCAAGTCTCAGGAATGGTACAGGGTCCCAGGCTCTCCAAACCTTAGACATGCTGCAGTGAGGGTTTTCTTTTTTGGATAAGCTGTACATCCATCCCCTACAGCAACCTCCCCTCAGCCCTCTCTGAAGGACCTCTGATTTTAAATGGCCTCATGACTTCTTCAATCAACATTGGATTTGTATGTTCTTATACCTCTTCTATCATATGTGAATTCTCAGTATTAGAATCCTGTTTATTGGGACCAGCAAATGGCGAAATGGTTACATCACTGGACTCCCACAAGGCTGACCATGGTTTGAGTCCTGGACCTGGCAGCTTGAAACTCACACCGGGCGTGTGTGTGCATATGCCCAAAATCCTGGGAGGAGAATGGAGGAGAAGGGATTGCCGAGTGGTCATCCCTCCTGGAGGGTGATTACTGCTTTCTATCTCTGTCTCTCCAACAAGTGCACACACCCTATAGCAAAAATCTCTATTAAAACAAAACAAAACAAAACAAAATCCTGTTTATTGAGCCCTTACTACAGCATGAATACTAGGGAAAAATTTCAGAGAGACCAAGTTGAATGGGAGCTTTTTCCTTAGGGTAAGGGGCTTCCAGGCTGTTTCTAGGCAAGTGGGACAAAAGGAGGAGTGGTGAGTACAAGAAATTTGTGCCTTTCAAGTAAGGGTTTGACTCTGTTTTAGGTACCCCAGCTTTACTCACCCCTCACCTTTGCTTTCCTGTTCTCTTTTGTCCTTCCCCTCCAGTTCAAGCATAATTAACCACAGTCTGTCCATTGGCTCACATGACCACCATTAACTTGTCAAGCGCTATTCTGAAAGCAAGGTTTTTATTCAGTTTTGCTTTGAGTTTAGAACACTTTTTGTTGAAGTAAAACCAACATGCAGAAAAGATTGCAAGTCTTAAGAGCACAGGTAAATGGGTTTTGGGCAAGTGACAGGGCCGTGTGACGAGCACATGGATCAGGACACAGAACGTCTCAGCATCGCAGAAGCTCCCTGGAGCCTCATTGCTATATGCTGCCCCTAGGAGCATCCAGTACTCTAGCTACTGTCATTGTAGATCGGTTTTTGCCTACCTTGGAACTTTATAAAATCCTTATAAACTTTATAAAGTTTATAAACATTAAATAAATATTTCCCTCAGCCCTTCTTCATGAGTTTGTAGCTAGAACAGACTTCTGTAACAAAAGACAGATTAATAAGATTAAAAAAAAAAAAAAAAAAGCCGGTTTACTAACGTGCTCAATGCACAACGCATGGAAGGAAACAAACAGAAAGGAGTGGCTTAGGATCCTGGCTTATCCAAGATCTTCAGCCAAGAACGGTAAGAAGAAAAGAGCAGCCCCAAGCTTCCAAGGGTGGGGAGAACTGCGGGGAGAAATAAAGTGCATTACCAGATCTTTCTAATGCTCTCTCTGAGCTGGTTAAGTGCTGCCCCGCAACAAAGGCTTTTGGCCGAAAAGTGCAGGGACATTGAGGAAGAAAGCACAGAAAGAACTTTAGTCTCTGTGACTCTAGGCAGAGAAAGGGCAGCGAGCTCTTTTGCATTTTAATTGCCTTTAGCTCGAAAATATTATGAAAAACTGACATATTTGGGGGTGGCATATTTTCTTACATGTGGGACCATACAGTGTACCCTCGTTTCTGTCTGGCTCCTTTCGCTCAGCACTTCATGTGTGAGACTGAGGCTGTGTGCAGCGATCCTGCAGTCCCTCTCCTTACTGAGTGGCACTCCTTTGCATCAGTGAGGCACTGTTCCTCTCTCCACTCTACTGCTAATGGACACTTGCAGTATTTCCAGTTTGGGGGGTGTTATGACTGATGACATTCTTCTCTATGTCTTTAGTAAACAGATATACACACTTTTATTAGGGGTATACCGAAGAATGAACGCATTTGGTCATAGAGTATACACATGTGCGGTTTTTCTTGTTGCTGTTGGGTTTTTTTTGTTTGTTTGTTTGTTTGTTTTTCAAGTTTATTTCTTCCATGGGAGAGTAAGAAAAAAAGAGTGAAAGAAAGAGTACTTTCAACAGAGTCGGGTGCCACACATGCCTGGTGTAATCAGGATGTCTCTGGGCGTGAACCTGGGACCCTCCCATGTGCGTCAGCCTCATACAGTACTGTGTTTTACCCCTAAGCCACTATCCAGCCCCTACATATGTTTAACCTTAGTAGATCTTGCCAGTTTCCCAAAGTGATTCAGTTTATTTTTATCAGCAATATATGTGACTTCTAATTGCTCCACAGCCTCATTAACATTTGGTATTACTTATTTTTAAAATATTAGTCATCCTGATGGGTGGTTAATGGTTTTTCATCAGGGTTTAATTTTTATTTTCCTAATGAATAATTGAGTATATTCTCATACTTTTTTGCCCATTTGCATATTATTTTTTGTATGTAAAATTACCATTCAAGTTTTTCGTATGTAAAATGACTGTTCAAGTTTTTTGTCCATTTTCTCTTCAGTTGTCTTTTTAAAAAATTGATTTGTAGGGGTTCTTTAAGTGAATACAGGTTCTTTATTGCAAATATCTTCTCAGATGCTGTAGCTTATTTTTCCGGTTTTCTAGTGGCATCTTTTGCTGAACAGCAGCTCTCAACTTCAATACAGCTCAACTTACCATTTTGTCCTTTCCTTTCAAAGCATTTTCTGTCTTGTTTAAGAAATCTTACCCTAGCTGAAGGCCATGAAGATGCTACCCTATGCTTTCTTCTAAAAGCCTTATTGTTCCATATTTACTTTTCCATACAGATTTCACATTTACATGTATAATCCATATGGCATTTGTATGTGTGTATGTGTGTGTCCGATAGAACTAAAGATTTGGGGGTTTTTTAGTTCTTTTTAATTTTTTTGTTGTTGTTGTTAAGGTTTTCGCTATAGGGCGCGTGCGCTCGCCAGACAGACAGAGAGAGACATAGAGACAGAAAGCGAGAAATCACCCCCCCAGAGGGGATG